CTGAGGATCCCCATAGTGTTTAAAGGTTCAGTCCATAGGACCGCAAAAAACCGGTGGACCGAACTGAACCGGACCATGGTCTGGTCTTTTTTTCGGTTGCAGTTGCCCCAATTTGGGGTTGGTCCGGTTGCCGGTTGCCTCATTTCGAAAATATATTAAAATCGTTCAAAGACCGGTTTTGATCGGTTGCAACCGGTTAAACGGTCACGTGCGTTACATACCCTTGTAACCACGTTTATTACTTTTTATTGGGTTTTTGTTTCATCAAAAACGGTTAAGAATTGAGAAAGATATAACCAAATCCATATTTTACCCGAGTCTCTGCGAGATGTAATTCGGTTTCAGTCATAGCTATGTCAAATCTTCATTAAATCTCTTCAAAATTGGTAGAATGACGGGTATTTACATGCTTTACTATTTCATATAACCCGTTTATTTTTCAGAGTAATAATAGTCAAGATACAAATGGTTTATATTGGTATAATAAATTATACGCAAAAAAACCGGTCTGGATCGGTCTGAACCGGCTCCATAGACCGAAATAGACCGGTCCTAGGTGGTTCGGTTCGGTTCCCTCAATATCTGGGTCGGTCCTAGACCGGTTGCGGTCCATGGTTGCGCGTTTTGGGGGCAAAAAACCGGACTGAACTGAACTTGCGAACACTACATATGGACACTGGAATCGGGTGGAGGTCAAACGACTGAGGCTATGGGCCAAGTGCTGGTGTGTATGGTCAAAGGACACAGTTGTGGACCCAAACGAGAGAGTGTGCCACCCTTTGTTGGGTTCACCAACCACCTTTGGTGTTGCTCACTGGTGATGAGGAAGCGCCAGGTGCTTGCAGTGTGGTTGTCAATGTGGATGGGGTGAGTTGTGGGTCATTGTGGGCTTGCATTTATTGTAGCACAGTATATGCATGTCATGGTGATGTGGCAGTGCTTGGTGAAGGTGACATGGCTTCGGAGGCAGATGTGGTGAGTGGAGTGTTGTTGTCGGCTATTCACAATCACAATCACAATCTCACTTGCATTGTTTGACGTCTTTGGGGGGTAGGTGCCTTTCGAGAGGGCTATAGAGGTGGGTCATTGGAGGTAGAGGTGGAACATAAAGTCTGTGTGAATGAGTTGCATTCCACAACTTGTTCTGGGACCATACCTCATGGGTCTCCCTCCTCTAGGGTCTCCCCTTCAGTTCTCTACATCTGCCACTACCTACTGTGACCTCCTGAGGTCAGCCCACATCCCTGGACAAGGGGAGGGGTGCACGATGGCCAAGTTGCATCTGCTTGTGTAAAAATTAAAAACTGGCTAAAAAGGGACTTGAACTAATAATAAGCACTGAATATACAGTTGAGTGCAAAAAGAATGAAGGTTGGTTCATTTTTCTGGTTCTTTCTAAGAATCTATTGTACCTCAAATGTATTTGTGTATTCTTTTACATTATGTAGTTGTGTTACACTTCCCTTGGTATGGACTGATTTCAGTGAAAGCTGGGGCCTTGAGAAGGTTTTTATTCTGGAGGCCATTTTTGGCATCTGAAAAAAAAAATATGCGCTAACTGGAGA